CCATGTTCCAGCCGGTAGGGTTGAGCATTTGCGAGGCTAGGTAGATCATGGGGATTTCCGCGACGTAGTACGCAGCACGACCAACACCTGTGCTCAGAGCGCGGAGTCGGATGGAAGATGTTTCCGCAATAATGGAGTATGAGATAGGACCCATGGTTCCCGCGAAGACAAATGAGATGACGATACCCAGACACGCCTGAGCGTAGTTGGTCGCATTATTCTGGGGGATAGAGGCGCAAATTCCCAAAAGGAAGAGTAGGCAGACGTTGACGGCGGTACCTCCAAGGTAAATCGTGCGACGGCCGAACCAGTTGCTCAGTGGCCACGAGCAGATGTTGGCGACTAATTGCAGACACGAGTTGATCAGATTGAGCTTGAAGGAGAAATCGGAAGACATTCCCGCCTGCTCGAAAAAGAAGGTTGCCTGGTTGGCGATCAGGTTGCCAGCAAAGTTCTGCGATGCGTAGATCAAACAGGTGATGATTGTTCGGCGAAGATCGGTTCCCTTGAGTAGGTCAAGGAGAGAAGGCTCACCACCTTTGTGAGCTTCAATCTGTACTGTGCGCTCCATCATGGCAAGTGTATCCTCGGCGGCAGCTTGAGTTCCGTTCCTGCGGCCGAGACGCTTGATAGATTTCAGCGCCTGGTCTCTGCGCCCTCTGCGCACAAGCCACCAGGGTGACTCGGGGGCGAAGAAGACGAGAACCATGAGAGGAGTGGGGAAAACCCACTGTAGCGCCAGAGGACCTCGCCATGCCCACTCGTCGTTGCGCTTGTTGTAGCTGTAGGTGGCGGCGGCGACGATGATGCTACCAATGGACCAAGACATTTGGAGAGTGGCCGTGCAAGCGCCACGAAGAACGAGGGGAACGACCTCACTGGCATAAGCAGGCGAGTTGGCAATGAACATGCCCCATGGAATGCCCTCGAAAGCTTGTCCGATGACAAGAACCGCGAGCGAATCTGCGAAGAAAGAGATGAAGATGGTTGCGTTCATGAGCATGAGCGCCAAGAGGGTCGTCCACCTGTAACCAAGGCGGTTGGTAATGGGACCAGCGAGGAACACTCCGACAAAGGCACCGCATTGGCCGGCTTGGAATAGCGAACTCTGCCATTTGGTAGGAATGGTTTTGCCGACTTCGCCAGCGACTTGGACTCCGTATCGCTCCTTGAATGCGCCGAGAGCAACGAAGTTACCATTCAAGAACATATCGAAAGACTCCATGACCTATACAGCGTTAGTAACGATCTGATAAGATTGGTAAAAAGATGTCAAGACTTACGATAGTAAAGCAGAAGATGAAAGCCCAGAAGCAGGCCATAGGATGGTCCTTGATTGCTTCCCACATGCCCATGTCATGCTCGCGGTTCTCAGCTGCTTGAGCATCTGTCATAAGCTCCTTGTCTTCAAAGATCTCAGCTTGATGGCTCAGGCTCTTCTCCAAGACGCCATCGTCGGCAGCATCTCGCTTGGTTTCGGTAAAGCCCGACATTTTCGGTTAGCGTGCAATGTGATTGGACGCCACGAAAAGCGAAGAACGAATAAGCAAAAGCCGATGCTAGAAGCCAAGCAGACATGGCGAGCTTGGGAGAGCTTATATACTCCATACACTTTTGGAGACGGCCTCGGTGTGGATACACTCTGCTATCAAGCCCACGGGGCCCCGCGACAAGCTTTCAAGGGTGCTTGTCATTTTCATGGGTCCTTATTGGTGGGCCTCTGGGGTATGAAGAAGCCGGGGTCCGAGCAGAGCCGCGTAGGACTGTCTAGCCCAAACCGTAGTCATTTGCACACTTCCTATTGATGCGAAATTCCAAAGCTAACAGGTAGTAGTAGCTTGTTTAGGTGAGCTTGCCGTGCGACGGCGGTTAGAGAAGTTGTGAAGTACACATCTTGCGGAAGTGCTCCTTGTTGTGTGTTAGCGAGGCTCAATAACGGGCGTAGAACGTTGCTAGACTTCGTGTGCGCCACGTGCGGCTCCGACACAGATGAGCTGATAATGAAGGATCTCGGAGCTCGGAATTGGAGAAGGTTGGTAGATTCGTGGGTGGTTTGTAAACGACTAACAGGTAGCTAGAGTCGGCTTCTTCTCTATTCGAGCGAGAAGCCAAATCGACGTCCACCCCATGGGCAAGAAATCTAGGAACCGCAAAGTCGGCCGCGTAGTATCGCATGTCCAGTCTACAACCCAAACGCTTGTTTGACCTAAGATCGTCTGTTATGACACGACTAGACTCGTGCGAGCGGCCAATATCGGGAACTACGGCCAGTCCTGGCAAGCGCCAGTGGGTCAACAGTCTGGGTCTTCGGAAGCGTGTCATGCAATACACGCAGAATACCGGATCTTCTCTATGATCAGTGTCTGTTGAACAAAAGAAAGAGATCGACAACGAGAGAGGAGAATGGTTTGGATGTGAACGTAGAGACAAGATGCATGGGTGCAGTAACCGCTACACTGTCTGATCAACTAACGCTCCGTGGTCCGGTCAAGCTTCGGTGAGGTAACATGGATACCTCGTGTATTGAACAGTGATCCTTGCCGCGGCTCCGTGCGGAATGATCATGGGCTAGAATCTCTAGAAGCAGAATCGTCAAGTATCGAAACTTGAGCATGTAGACCACTTCTAGCAAGCGGCCCGCATACCATTTCCGATACTCCGTACGTGGAGACGAGTAACGTATCGCCCCAAGCACGACCGGTCCCACATCGTGGGCGCGGGAGTACGTTACGATCTGGGTACCGTGTAGCTGGATCGCTAAGCGGTTTGATTGAGCAGCCACTCAGATGCCTCTCAGTAACGGACGAATGCTTTCGTGATTATTCATTTTGTAGGCGCTAGTAAACGTGGGATCTGGACCAGCTCTGGCAGGCTTGTGTTCCACACTGACAAGACTGAATCATCCACCATCAGCTGTGCAGCTATAATGTGGTCCAAGAAATCTAGACACTTCCGAATGCGTACGTATATCGTGTATGCGGAGCGGACATATGCCACTGGTCAGGTTTTGATTATGCGATCTTCAGCAGCTCCAAGTTATCATGGTAGAGATGGTTCCTTGTAGCTCACGTTCACTTTGTCAAATTTCTTGACTGTCTTGAACTAATGAAAGCTATGTGTCGCGAAGCTGTTACTTGGTAAGTTTGATGAAGATACCTCATTTCTCATATTCGAAGTGATCAAGCAATAGCAGACTTTAGTAGGGCTCATCTCATCCATACATCTCCCTCTCGGTCAAAATCCGAATCATGCGTCAACAGGCTACAGCGGAACGTTTGAACTCTCCCGATATGTATAATTGACCATGTAACAAGAACTCGTTGACCAACGCTGTGGCCTGATAGCATGCTCTTTGATTCCGACCTTTACATAAGGAAGTGGATATATTTGTGCAGTATTGTGGGAGACTCGTCCCGCTCATCAAACTACAGGTGTTGGACGGCGAAATATCATAGCTAGCGAACAGTTTAGCAAATACAAGTTTCTTCGCATGCAAAGTTCTTCCTAAGCCCCCTAACGCTCAGGCCACAGGCAGCTTGAAATACCTAGGCAGGGAAATCAACAGCGTCATGATGACGTTAAAGTTTCATCCTGTTAACCCAAGATTACAATAGCCCACATCTCTGCAAAACATGCCCAACTGACAAACATCTTGTTTATCGGTTTTCATCGTGGCGTCGGCGATGATAGATGATCTGAACTAAGATGAGCGCGGCGGTGTGAGCGGCATGCCATGAAGATACCACAGCGCTGCGGTCAAGGTCTGGCGGACAAGAGAAAGCGAGGTTGTGTCACTGTAGCAGGGTCGTACAACGACATTTGCAGCCGAAATAGACACAGGTTTACCAGTGGCGTGGGGATTTGGGGAAGATGCAGGTGAACTGGCAGTCGAAGCTAGCTGGTGCTAGCGCGTGCAGTAGCGCCGCACCGGTCCGCTTCGCCCTAGCCTCTCCTTTACATTTATTACAGCCAGAAACATGCTCGTACGACATTGAGAAACGCCCAAGCCTGTGTTGATGTGCGACGACTGCGTGCATGGGTTTTGATCGGTACTGTGTCCGTTCGCAGCTATACGCCTAGCGATCTCTCCGCGATGTGCCCACTGAAGCGAATCATTGCTATTTCCCAAGGTCTGTTTACGTTTCCAAGCTTAGACGGTCGGGAAGCAAACACTTCCAAGCAGCAACACTGCTATGCACGGTTTTCAATTCGACGTGTCAGAAATTGCATACCTCCAGGCTTAGCGCTGCTGTCCTACTGTAGCAATGTCATGCGCTGCCTATCAGTCTCTATCCCAGCAACGTCGAACGCCTCTTTGCGTCTCGCTCTGTGTCAGTGAGCAGTAGGAGAAGAAGTAGAAGAAAAAGAGGCGTTCAATCCCCACATTCCAGAATCCGTAGTCCTAACGGACAATGGCTCCGCAATGACCAGGTGCTCCCATTAAGAGCAAAGATGACTATCTTGGCATATTCGGATCGTCTGTACGGTAACACAGGATGTCTGAAGTAAGGGCGATGAGTCACGGCCTCATGCATTACGTTTGTTCTCTTCTCATACGATCTGCTACTGCCATCTGCATGTTTCCGTAGAGTTTACCGCGGCTCAAGCCGTGAATTCTGGGCACTTGGGATATAAGGAGTTGAGGCCAACCGGATTCCACCAGCCCGCCTCGCGCTCATATCAGCTCATAAGCCACTTGTACAAAGAACCCTAGGCCAAACTCGAAAGTGTAAAAGCAAACACCAACGATATGGTTTACCCAAATGCGCCTGGCGTTTCGACTCGACCGTGGGTCAAGAATTTCAATATCCCGCTGGAAGCGGGCAAATGCCTCGAATTCGTCTATAAAAGAGTCTGCAATGGTTCCCAAAGACTCGATACCCATAGCGAAAGGATCGGAATTATCACCTGTCGGGTCGACGCGCAAGAGAAGCAGAACGATATTCAGGGGCAGCTCATGAGCTCCTTCATGAAGAAGACTGAAGGAGACTGAAGAAGACATGGCACAACTCGAAGACCGTCTCAAGACTCAGAAGGCACTGAATATTCAACTAGAGACCTTAGTCCAACAGCTCGCACAATCCTGCAACAGACAACCAGATGCTATGATGGGACTCAAACAGCGTATGGATGAGCTTTCCAATCAAGCTGATGGACAAAAGACTATTGCTGTGGCGAAACTCACAAAGACAAGTCGGCAAATTCGAGAGCTAGATGAGCGGCTGCAAAGGTCGGAACGTAGGAGCGATATGGACAGTCAAAAGCTTATGGAGCTAGAAATGGATGTGGAGCACCGTTTCGAGACAGCAGTGATCGTTGCTCAAGAGGACCTGCGACACCACCATGATATGGTGCAGTCGCAAGCGAACGAGCATACAGAGACACTATTGAAGACTGTCAGAGTACTGGATTCCATCAGTCAACGAGTCAGCGTACTCGAGGCTGCGCAAGATTCACATGAAACGGCGACCAAGACCTGCCAGGCCGCCACGACTTTGCTCGAACCCCTGTACGAGCGTGTGAAACCGGTAAAACTCGCTTCTACCGCTCTCCAGATGGACGATTCAATTCACCCGACGCTGAAGATAATTGATTCCAAACTCAAAAACCTTCAGTTCGATGTCGACACACTAAGATCGCGCTCGGATACCGAAATTGTCGCATCTGTCAACTTCAAGAAAAGACTTGTTGCACTAGAGGAAGGTAGTGGAAGTGTGGCATCAACTAAGATCAAGGAAACACTCACTGGATTAGAGGAGAAAAGCCGAGATATGATCGATTATGTATAGTCAGTACTGGCTAACACACTGGATGAGCAGAAGGATTCACTTGCCAACTTAGCTAATCAAAGTCCTGAAGTTGAGATGACTGGTGTACACCCATTAGTCGACACCTCGAACAGCATGGAGCAATTAAACGCAACACATCAGACACAACTGCAGCAAGTTGATCTCCTACCACCACAACGAACCTATTAGTATCAACATGGGATACCACAACCCTCAACCACCGCGCCGGTGTCATTCCCCATACCACCTCCTGTTCCACCATTGTTCCGACACGATGCCCCACGAACAGTAGTCACGAGACAAGACATACACCAGCATCATATCTCTATGTAAATGGGAGCCGCAGATCGGGTGACAAGTAACGACATGCATATATGATGTACGGTCGAAGGGCATCCAGAGGTGCGGTTGTTAAGAGCTCAGGGGCTACAACAGGAGGGAGGATCTATGACTTATACTCCAGATAATTAGAGCTGTGCTAAGCTTGATCGTGTAGGAGTGGAGAAGGACTGATGAGGTGACAACAAAGAGTTTGGTGGCAGAGTACCTCTAGATATTGAAGTGTGTGCTAAAGTCAATTGGAGGTGATGTTTTGGGACAACTACAACCGGCTACTGGAGGCGAAGTCATACTCTGCCTGCCATCCACTCATTGCGTGGTACTAGAATGGTAGACTACAAACGCAGCAGACGACAAGCCGCTCAGAATTATTGAACATACGTTCGACATCAGCATCGGGTCCCTTTCTTAGGAAAGATCTGTGAGAAAGATGGAGGAGCATCTACAGACTTGGTGGACGGAGATAGAAGGGGCGGGCGTGTAATACTAGGAACAAAATCATAAATAGCGTGTGATGAGTTCCTCGCAATCTGCTCAATCGTTCCCGGTGCGTGCAGCTCCAAAGCGTAAGAACTGGATATGACAGAAAGCGCAGTATCATCGAGCAGCGTCTTTATCGATACGTAGCTGATTGAACACATGAGTGTCACGCAAATCGATATCGTTATATAAAACATCAACGCAACGATAACAGTGGTGCTAGTCATTGCCGCTCATATCCATGCTGTGTTGTACTTGTATGTTACATTTTACATTTTTACTATTTGAATCTCGTCACGGCACCTAGTTCTTAGGCTTGTACTCAGAGGGGTTGACCATCAGCTCAGGCCTGACGTACTTGTCAAAGTCCGCCTCGCTGATGACCTCGAGCTTGAGAGCAGCCTCCTTGAGGGTGAGGTTGTTCTTGTGTGCGTATTTGGCGGTCTTGCTAGCAGCGTCATAGCCGATGACGGGGTTGAGGCAGGTAACAAGCATGAGACTATATCAAGTTAGCTATATGAAGGACATTTGATTCGAGTAATGTGACTCACCTCTCGCTCATGATGGAGCTGATGCGCTTCTCATCCGCCTCCAGACCAGCAACGAGGTTCTTCTCGAAACTGCGCATGCCATCCGCAAGCAGACGCGAGCTGTGGAGCAGGTTGCGGATCATGACGGGCTTGAAGACGTTGAGCTCAAAGTTACCCTGCGATCCAGCGAAGGTGGTGGCGGCCTGGTTACCGAATACCTGGGCGCAGACCATGGTGAGGGACTCGCACTGTGTGGGGTTGACCTTGCCGGGCATGATGGAAGAACCGGGCTCGTTCTCAGGTAGCTTCAGCTCACCAAGACCGCATCGGGGTCCGGAACCGAGGAAGCGGATGTCTTGGGCGATCTTGAAGAGGGAGGTTGCGAGGGTGTTGAGCTGGCCATGGGCCTCGACGATGGCATCATGGGCAGCGAGGGCTTCAAACTTGTTGGGTGCGGTGACGAAGTCCTTGCCAGTCATCTTGCTGACTTCTGTGGCAATGTCCTCGGCGAAGCCCTTGAATGTGTTGATACCAGTTCCGACGGCTGTTCCACCCTGTGCCAGCATCTTGAGGCGCGGGAGACAGGTCTTTATCCGCTCAATGCCAAAGTCGAGCTGCTGTACGTATCCAGAGAACTCCTGGCCGAGAGTCAGAGGGGTAGCATCCTGAAGATGTGTCCTGCCAATCTTGATCAGGTTCTCCCACTGGTCGACCTTCTTCTGCAGCGCATCGCGGAGGCTGGTGAGGGCGGGAAGGAGCGACTCCTCGAAGTCGAGCACGGCGGCGATGTGCATGACGGTGGGGAAGGTGTCGTTGGAGGAGGCGGACATGTTGACATGGTCGTTGGGGTGGACTGGCTTCTTGCTGCCCATTGTGCCGCCGAGGATCTCGATGGCGCGGTTGGAGATGACTTCGTTCGCGTTCATGTTGGACTGGGTGCCAGAGCCAGTCTGCCACACCACAAGCGGGAAGTGGTCGATGAGCTTGAGGGAGGCCACCTCGTCAGCGGCCTGCTGGATGGCCTTTCCGAGCTTAGGGTCTGCTTGGGCGTTAGCCGTGTCGCCTTCGCATTCTTCAACGTGCCATACCCAACCCAAACTTCATGTTGACCGTGGCAGCAGCGCCCTTGAGGATACCAAAGGCGCGCACAATGGGCGGCGGCATGCGGTCCTGGGGCTGGTTGATCTTGAAGTTTTCCAGCGAGCGCTCTGTCTGGGCTCCCCAGTACTTGTCCGAGGGGACCTGGATCTCGCCAAAGGCATCGCTCTCGGTTCGTGTGTTTGCCATGCTGCTGGTGACGCTGAATTGGCGGCGCTGGAACTGGCTCTGCGACTTCACGGGGGTGTATCGAGTGGTGGAGAGCGGACGCGTGCTGCGGGCACAGCAGAAGGAGGGGCTGGCCTTTGCATGTGCGAGTGATCGCAATGCTCCGGCCTCGGCGGCGCGGAGCTTGATTGCGCTTCGGAACATGGTTGCAGCAGCTGTTTGTGGGGATGGGATGGAGTGGAAATGGGGGGCAGATGCCGGATTGGCTAATTGAAGTGCGCAGTGAACACCAAGGCGCAAGTCGCAAATCTGAAGACGAGACGAACAATTGCGCTGCGAGTCAAAATGCTCCAGTTCAGAGCTCTGACCTCATGTCCGCGGCAATTCCCTCCGGTCTTTCCCGCGGCCTCCATGAGGTGCACGTGACTCGCCAGCAAATGCCAAGCTACGGGTGGAATGCCCCTCCAGTTGGACCTTGGAAGCTCTGAAGAAGGCGTTGTCGAATTCATGGTTGTTGCCCGCCGTTGTTGCCAGAGGCCTGCTGCTAACTTTTACCACCAAGCCGACATGCCGCCATGCCGCCATCCCGCCATCCAGCACCGTGTCATTCTTCCGCTCTCTTTCCGCACCCCGGCACCAAATGCTCAGCATTAGCCTGTGATGACCTGCGCATGCAACGTCAAGCGTTCCGTCTCTTCTTCTGCGCTGATGCGGCGGTTCCATCATGTCCCACCGCCCTGGCCAGCCACGCTGTTCCCATTCTCTCAAGACCAGGCCGCGCAGCACTCTCAGAAGCCACGTCTCGTCCTGCTTCTTCTGGTGGAGACTCTGGCCCTCTCTCGGTGTAGATCTGCTTTGCCTGCTTCGGTCGGTCCTTAGTGGACTTTCCGCATAGTCACCGATCAAAAGCTTCGGCATTATCGGGCACACCCTGCTGCGTGAAACACGCCTCGTACCCAAGGCCTGTCCCCGCCCGAACTTCTCTCGCATCGCTGCGTTGGGTTCGGCTGAGGGTCCAATTTATTGGGTGATGATGTTAGACTCCGCCCTCTTTGATGACGATCTAGAGCTACCATGGCAAACGACCAAGTACACTTGGAAGCTAGGTTGCGGCGTGACGCCCTGGAACCATGTGCCCTGCGCTTTCCGTCTTCCGACGCCTGGTCATATTAGATTAACGTAGCGAGTCAAGTCGGAGCGCACCTGATCTGTCTCCACCATCCTTTCGATCCATGCTGGGCGCTCGTCTTCGAGCGAGCCAGCGTAACATGGAGCTAATGACCCCTCATCTTCACCTACGGCTCAGACTCCAGCCTCAACAAACGGTCCACTCCGTTTTTGCTGTTTACTGCTCTTTCGCAGCCTGCTATTGTATCTTCAACTTCACTTTGCCTTTGTGTGTGCATTTGTGAAGCACGGGTTCAGTTTGGCCACACGTACTTGCTTAGCTGCAGATAAGGCTTCCATGACGCTCATCGAGCCTTCTGCTACGAAGCTCTCTTTCCAACGACTGCCTCAATCAAGGCCGAACATTGACTGGCAACAGTTGCAACTCCATATTTCATAGCATCAGCATCAACATCAACATCGGCATCCGCCTCTATCCTGACACTCGCTTACCACCACTTGACACAGCTCATGGTACCATTTGTGAACGCAAGCGCAAATCCTCTACAAGACATCTATCATGGCTCACAATGACAACGGCGCAACTTCTTGGCCTCAATATACCACTGATCCTGAAGACCCGCATGCAGAGCTGACTGCCCCGACTCTCTCTTCACAGAGACCGTTTCAACAACAACTTCCACCCATATATCAAAACTACCATGGACTCGGTGGCAACACTTCAGCACCCCTCATACCTGAGAGAAATCATCAGTCGGTTTCTATGCCTCTCGTACCGCCTACAAGCAATTATCCATCGGGAAGTTCGCCTTTGCCATTTATGGCGAGCAATCGTCGACATTTTTATCCCCCCACCACATACTCATATGAACCGTATCCAGTCATGAATCCCTCAAGGCCGTCGCCCACGCGAAACGTGTTTGATCAGCCGCTGGTGGGCCAGACGTTGTATAACAATGGTGTCAGCGTCCAGAGCTACCCTTTCCCAATGTCAGCAGGTTACAGCAATCCTCCTCTGTTCGGATCTTTCAACGCTGTACCTTCATATAGTCCACCCCGCAGCAATCAAAGGACGAGCGTCGGACCAACTGCCCGCAGTGCCCGTGCAGACACTGTACGTGGCCCTTATGCAAGACATCGAGAGCCAGTACCAGGAAGCCGGGCTCGAGATCCGAGACCACCACCCCAAGCACCGAGTCAAGCAAGGGAACAAACATACCCTGGATTCGAACAACCTCCATGGATATCCTTTCCGGGTCCGAGTCGCCGCTCGGATCGTAGTACATCCCCGCGCGCCTCGAATCGTAGGAATTTCGAGCGGTACTCGGTCGACCTCTCACAGTCGAGCACGTCGTCTGACGCAGAAGAAGCGGCTGCCCGTGCGCCACCATCGAACCGCATGAGGCACCGACCAAGAGAAGTACGACCACGGCCGCCAGGCCGCCACACTTTCAGTGACCCCAATGTTTCCACTGCTCGCCAGATCAATATACTGAAGCTCAGCCTAAATCGGCATCTACCAAGCGCGCTTCCAGAGGATGCGTCCAAAACTTGTGATATCTGTCAGAAAGACTACGCCACGACACTTGTAGCACCCACAGAAGACGAGGAGAATGCTGTGCAGCTAGTTTGCGGACACAGATTTGGAGAGTTTTGCATAAACCAATGGGTCAGTATAAGTACCTAGAAGAGGCTGTTTGCCTGCTAACACAGCCCAGTTTGATACGTGCAGAGAACATAAGAACAAAGTTACTTGTCCCATGTGCCGGGCACAGCTGATAGAAGAGTCCCGATGGATCCCACCCTTGCTACATGCATCTTCACGTGGGCAGGCATTTATCGAACTTCTTGCCCGCGAACAAGAACTACTTGCTCGCGCAGAAATGCAGGCCCAGGAGTTTCAGAGCCATATTTACCAGACATGAGGGTTGGCAAGCGAGTTGGGAGCGAGGATGCTGTCCTTAGAGCTGTGATATCATTGTTTCGGACGGGCAATCTTGGTCGGCTACTCGGGGCGTTATCGTTTGGCGGTGGTATTTACTGACGGTCGCACAGGATATGGGTAATTGGGATACAGAGGGCGTTAGATTGGATCTGTACATAATACGTGCCGAGCATGGGATCAACATCAGCATCTTCGTGGCTACCGAATTTGCATGTCAGGACCTTGCGTCGATCGCAGATGGGCTCCACTTGCCGGGATGCCTGGAATTCATCGTTGCCCGGAGCCACACTTAGCCCAAAACATGCACCCCGCCATCAACACAAACTTGACCCTCTACACCCTGCGCCCGTCAAACTACGAAGGCGTGTAAAGTGTTGCGTTACAAAAACACTGTCGCCGATTGCCTGCGCCCGCATTGCTAGCCTTTTGCTTCTTCGCGCTTGCCTGCCTGTCCCCCGCGGCTATTCGCTGCTGCCCATCCACCGCTCCTTCCTGCCCCATCGCCCAGTAGCCCAGTAGCCCATCATGGAAGACGGCAATAGAGATAACTTCCAGCTGCCTGCCCCTCCACCCCCATTGCAGACCCGCGACAACGCAATGGATCGCCCAGGCACGCCGACCGAAGCCTTCATGAGCCCGCAGCAGACGCCCCAGGGCAGTCCAAGCAAACACCACCAGCCGCCCGGCGCATTCGATCTGCCGCACGTCTTCGAAAATGCCATGAGGCTGCTACCCACCATGGGCTCGCCCTCCAAGACGAAGCCCGCAACACCAACACTGCCCAACAAACTGCAGCTCGGTGACTACAGCGCACAGGATAGCCCAAGTCATGCACCGGGCAGCCCCACACGCAAGTCGAATCAAGAGAACACACCCCTCAGTGGCCGTCCGGGCCTGCAGAAGGAGTCGAGCTATCTCACACACGCAGCACAGTCGCGGCAGGAGCCCTACAGGACGCGCGAGGAAGGCCAGCAGTCCACACGCTACATCAACGGCCCACAGCGCTTGTCCCCAGAGGAATTGGAGAAGGCAAGGAAGCCGGCCGTCAAGCGCCTGGCCAACGTGACTCAGCTGTGTAAGGTCTGGATCAAACCATCTCGAGCCAGTGCTAATGGAACCTGTAGACTTCCTCGATTACTACTACGATCTGCTCACTTACGTGCACAGTCGCCAGAGCCGTCTGTCTCAGTTCAAGGCCCAGAACCCTCCACCGCCAGATACACCAGAAGAGGAATACAACGATGCCCTTACACAATATCTTGGCCGCGAGCGCGCCAACCTCCGCAAGCGACGTACTCGGTTACGGCAGGGTGATTTCCAGATCCTCACACAAGTCGGTCAGGGTGGCTATGGACAGGTATACTTGGCCCAGAAAAAGGACTCACGCGAGGTGTGCGCCCTCAAGGTCATGAGCAAGAAGCTGCTGTTCAAGCTGGATGAAGTTCGCCACGTCTTGACAGAGCGCGACATCTTGACCACTGCTAAGAGCGAGTGGCTCGTCCGCCTACTCTACGCCTTCCAAGACGATAAGAGCATCTACCTCGCCATGGTGAGTTGCATCAAGAGCAAGTATTGCGTAATGAACTGACGACTGCTAGGAATACGTCCCCGGAGGTGACTTCCGAACCTTGCTCAACAACACTGGTGTCTTGCACAACCGACATGCCCGCTTCTACATTGCCGAAATGTTCTCGTGTATCGATTCGCTGCATCAGCTGGGCTACATTCATCGCGACTTGAAGCCTGAAAACTTTTTGATTGACAGCACTGGACACGTCAAGCTAACAGACTTTGGCCTTGCAGCCGGTATCCTTGCGCCTTCAAAGATTGAGTCTATGCGTATCAAGCTCGAATCTGTCAGTGACGTTGTGTCGCCATTTGGCCGTCCTATCGAAGACCGATCGGCAGCACAGCGTCGGGAAAACTACCGCTCTCTCCGCGAACGAGACGTCAACTACGCCAAGAGTATCGTTGGAAGTCCTGACTACATGGCGCCTGAAGTGTTGAAGGGTGACGAATACGATTTTACAGTCGACTACTGGAGCCTGGGGTGTATGTTGTTCGAGGCCCTAGCCGGATATCCACCCTTCGCTGGTGCCACGGTTGACGAAACCTGGCAAAACTTGAAACAATGGAAGAAGGTCCTGCGGAAACCCGTCTACGAAGATCCTTCCTACTTCCTGTCGAAGCGCACCTGGGACCTCATCGTCCGTCTCGTAGCATCTAAGTCTACCCGCTTCCGCAACATTTCTGAGATTCATGCCCATCAGTACTTTGCTGAGGTCGATTGGACGAGGTTGAGGGAGCAGAAGGCACCGTTCGTACCGGAGTTGGACAGCGAGACCGACGCTGGATACTTTGACGATTTCGGCAACGAAGCCGACATGGCGAAATACAAGGAAGTACACGAGAAGCAGGCTGCTTTGGAGGCTATGCAAGACCGCAACGTTCAGATGGGCAAGGGTCTATTTGTTGGATGTAAGTCTTGACGAATACTAGTGTTTCGTCAAATCGCTAATCTGTATTGCAGTCACCTTCCGCCACAAGAAGACAGCCGACGAGAACGGCAAACCGTCAAGCCCCAGGAAGCCGCTTCCAATGGTTGAGGAGAACTTTGGCACCATATTCTAAGAGCTATCATTCTGCTTTGCGTGTCGTAGCACTGGTTGCGTCGGCACATTCTTTCATTCGTACACCCGTTTTCAGGCATCAACCACAGCAACTGAAAGTCGTGGGCGTGAGCCGAGTGATGAGGTGCGTGCGTGGAAAGGCCAGTTTCTAGGTTCCACGTTGTGACATGATTTGTTAGATTTGGCGTTCAGTTTGGTCTAAGCATAGCTTATTGGGCGGGCAAGTGATTTGCGTGCATTGAGTTGTCGTGTATTAGTAGACAATGAGTACAAGAGTGAGAGTAGTGCTTCCTCATCGTGTGATATGCAAGTGATTGTACAATGGAAGACAATCGACTAGAGCTAGCATGGAGGTGTCCACACGACAGCACGTGATCGCGTTCAGCGCACGGAGCCATCGCGTCACGCTAATGGATAGTTCCCGTCATTCCATCCCCTCCTTCATACTGCATACTCCACATACGGCGACCCACACAAAGAAATCGCGACCATGCCTGGTATCGTTCAGCGAGGTCGAAAACGACCATCGCGCGCGGTCAGCGAAGATGAAGACGAAGAATCTTCTGCCTCCTCCTCTCCACCGTCGTCCGCTAGTAAACGCGCACGCTACGAACAGAACGCGCCCAACGGCTCCCTCCGAGCAAATGGCCACCGGAATGGCTCGACCGCACACGCTCAGGACGATTTCAAACCGGGATCGCTTGTCAGAGTGAAGCTCACAAACTTCGTCACATACACGGCTGCCGAGTTTCATTTGGGACCAAGCCTGAACATGATCATCGGTCCGAACGGTACAGGAAAGAGCACCTTGGTCTGCGCAATCTGCTTGGGTCTAGGATGGAATAGTGAGCATCTGGGCAGGGCTAAAGAGCTGGGCCAATTCGTCAAACACGGCGCGACAGAAGCCGTCATTGAGATCGAGCTTGCAACGGGTTCTGGCAAAGGCCCAAATCGAATAGTCAAGCGCCTCATTCGTAAAGAAGACAACAAGTCTGTCTTTTTCCTAGAGGATAGGCGCGTCACCCAGAAAGATGTCGTAGCGATGGCCAAAGGATACTCCATTCAAATCGACAATCTGTGCCAGTTCTTGCCGCAGGACCGTGTTGTTGCATTCTCCATGATGAGCGACGTCGATCGTCTACGAGAAACTCAGCGCGCTGCAGCGCCTCCTTACATGGTAGAGTGGCATGATCAGCTAAAGGCCCTGCGTGTAAGCGAGCGATCGAAGGAGGATGAGCAGAGCAAGCAACGCGAGAGTCTTGAGAAGTCGGAAAAACAACAGACCTCATTAAGAGGCGATGTGGACCGTCACCACCAGCGCGAAAATCTACAGCGAGAAGCAAAATGTCTAGAGATGGTCAGGCCTATGATCGAGATGAAGGACCTCAAGACAAACATTAACAATATCAAGACGGAAATCCGAGAAGCAAGACTGGAGCTCGATCAGATCAACGTCGACATAGAGCCAGCGCGTCAAGCTCAGTCGGCAGTTGAAGCATATCAGGATCAAATACAGCAGGTTGTGCGCCTTCGCAAGAACCGCGTTGATATGATCAAGACTCAAGCCGACAACATTGCGAGAAAGGTCGACGCTGAAAAGACAAAGGCAGCAGAGTCTACGGCGATGATTAGTGCTGAACTAGCATCGAAGAAGACGAGCGAGCAGGACATGGTCCGCCTAAATCATGAGATCGTCAAGCTGAAGCAACAGCAAAACAGTGAGCCCGAGCATTACGACGCCGAGTCTTATGAGCAACGCAAGGCGGCTCTACGTAATGAGATATCAACTAGGGCGGGCCTTGTCGTGGAAAAGGAAAACATATTACTCGATATGAGGAACCGTCGCGTGCCTGACATCTCGAGGCAGAATGAAAAGCTGAAAGCAGACCGCGCAAGGCTGAGTACCCAAAGCGGGAAACAGGCCAGTCTCTTACAGAAACTTTCTCACGACACAGCTGCTGCATGGGACTGGGTTCAGAAGCACAAAGACTCTCTAGATCTGAGAGGTAAAGTATTCGGTCCGCCGATCCTAGAATGTTCCGTCATAGACCCTAGGTATGCTCAAGCCGTCGAAGGGCAGTTGAGAAGGGGTGATGTCGTTGCCATTACCTGTACCCACAAAGATGATCAAAAGCTACTCATGAACAAACTCCTAACTAAAAAAGACAACGGCGGGCAAGGACTTCACGACGTCCATCTTCGAACATCGCCGAAGCCTCTCTCTGCGTATCAAAAGCCCGTCTCTGAAGCAGAACTGACTCGTTACGGATTCGAGGGATATATGTTAGATTACCTTCAAGGGCCGGATGAAGTCTTGGCAATGCTTTGCGACAACAACAGATTACACCAGATTGCCTATGCTGCGAACCCAATCTCGGACGAGCAACACGAGGCTGTAACAAACAGCCCGATTCACAGCTGGGTCAGTGGTGTGCTCACGAATCGCGTTGTTCGACGTTACGGCCAAGCTTCGACTTCCGTCACAAAACTTAGACCGGCACAATTCTTCGTTGACCAGCCAGCCAACGCGGATGAAATGCGGGAGCTTGACCAAAAGCAACGGGAGCTAGTGCGAACAAAACAAGAGCTGCAAGAGGAAAACGCTGTAGTCAAGAATGAAATGAAGACCCTCAACGAGGAGATTGCAGAATTTAGACAAGAAATGGTATAGGCCCCCTGCTGGTATACATGATCTCCATTTACTAAGAAGGAGGTAGGAAATCGTCCAAGCTGAGCAAAATGGCATCAGGAAAGCTTTGGCCGAATGGGAAGCCCTTCCTGGAAAGATTGGTGTGTTTCAGTTATGAGAGAAAGAGCATGTTTGCTGATTCTATATAGCAATGAAACAAACGGACCTGGACAGCCATAAACAGAAGATTGCGGAAACGGCCGACCGCATTCGAGCAATCAAAGCCGACGCTCGTGTCGCATCACTGAAGGCGGCTAGTCTGACGCTCGAATATGCTGTAAGTTACGCTCATTCTTTCGTGCAGCATTTGCTGATTTGCTTTACAGAAAGCTGTCACACAGATGAGAGCATTTCATGAATCGCACGTGGAGGCTGAGATTAGATTCATTGAAGCCAAGTCTGAACTCAGGGGCTTGATACAGGAGAACAGCGAAATACTGCAGAAACAGCAAGCACAACAGGCCAGGATCGCTGAGCTTGATCAGCGCCATCAGGCCCTTCGGCGTGACTACAGGAGGATTTTCAACGTCACGCAGGAAGAGATTAGCACCTGCACCGAGGAGGAGAATCGGATGATACTCGCATACAAAGAATCTATCCCCAGCATCGATGACTTGGACATAGAGATACAGTCTGTCACTGCGCGATTGGGAATGATGGCTGAAGGCAATCCTGGGGCGATCAAAGCTTACGAGAAGCGCGAAGAGGAAATCAGAACAGCACGAATCAAGCTGGACGAGTACGCCCGTGATCTCGAGCAAATCCAGGATGAGATCAACGAGATCCGCGGCAAGTGGGAACCTGAGCTCGACCGTCTTGTTCGCAAAATCAGCGCAGCCTTCGCGCAACAGTTTGAGATGATCGGATGCGCAGGAGACGTCCAGGTGAACAAACACGAAGCAGATTTTGACAAATGGTCCATCCAGATCTCCGTCCGCTTCCGGTCAGTTTTTTCCTGGTCCGTGAATGAAACGACGCTAATGATCCTAATAGAGAAAATGAGAGTCTCAGCGTCCTAGACTCCCACCGCCAATCCGGTGGCGAGCGCTCCGTCTCAACCGTCTTCTACCTCATGGCGCTACAAGACCTCGCCCAATCGCCCTTCCGCGTCGTCGACGAAATCAATCAGGGTATGGATCCTCGCAACGAACGTATGGTACATGGGCGCATGGTGGATATTGCGTGCCAGGAGAACACGAGTCAATACTTTCTTGTGACACCCAAACTTCTGCCTGGTCTCAAGTATCACGAGAAGATGAAGGTGCATATCATCAACTCTGGAGAACATGTCCCGGTTGCAACAGGAAAAACGGGTGAGTGGAATTTGTCAAGTATGGCAGAGATCGCCCTGGCAGTTCGGCGGAGCGTTGCTGTCGCTTGAAGACGTAAAACGGTATAAGTGTTGCTCAAGGGTAGACGAAAGCATCTCGTGTAAGATGTGACACTACTGCCATGGTGATTAGGAGGCGTTTACGGTTCGACATGTTTAACGGCGGAGGGCATTGGCATTGGCAATGGCGCAGGTGCATAATGATACCAGTGCTACGGCTTAGCAAACGTGCGATATTGATCGCGCATCGAACATTCTTAGCGCTCTTCTTATCAGCGCTATCGCATGGCGTGCGCGGAGAATATATTGAGTTACCCGTATCCGTACGTGGCTATGTAACCATTTCCTTTGACATATCGTGTTCGTGCGACGCGGCGTGGTACCTTTGTGCAGCAACAACTACCTTATTCTGCAGACACCTCGCCAATACTCAGCTGTAGGTCGATCCCAACACTCTCCGCTGGATGTGGAAGCTCGAAAGCTGAAAAGTTTGTACGAGGCAAGCGGGTACCCTGGTACTGCTCACCTGTATTATAGGTTGGGGTGGTGCTATGGCTCGCTACGGTTGGTCCCAGGGCTGCGTCATGGTACAGAATACCTTGGAAGTGTTGCATCGCAGGAGGCGACCCAAGAGAGGCGCAAACGAAACGGGAATATGAGAGAGCCTTTTTCCTCGTGTGTATACTGGATAAATGCCTACGTTCAGTTCATCAATATACGAGAACAGCTAAAGAATCAACTGCCTTCCAGAGCAACAACAGTATCGAACGACTTCGGCAACATGACACTATACACTATATTCTCCGCCTTTGCACTTCTTTCACCTCCTGCGAGCGCTCTGCCAAACACTCTGTTTGCTCTCCAAACCATTACGACAGAAACATGGCAGATTCCTCGTCTGGACATGCATATGATGAGCATCGGCACTGGTATTCCGGGTAACCCACCTTGGCCTGAAGATTCAAAGTTCGATTCTACCATTGACTTTGACGTGATGGTTCCAGCTGCGACAGGACTGGCAAAGTGGAATTGTCAGGGTGCTATGGCAAATAGTACTATCACGGAGCGGCTGATCGATTGTGTAAGATATGAGGAAGACGGAGAAGGCGGCTTGATGTTTGGGATGCAGAAGTATGATGGTCTTGGAGAACGAAGGGCTGAGTTAAGCTTTTCGCTGTGGCTGTACAGGAACAGGTATGCTTTCTTGGCTTTTTACGACATCCTCACGATCATGCATATGTCGACATACACTGACGCTGATTACCGTGTAGACAAGACGGTGACCTGCTTGTCCCGACGTTCTCAGGCCACACAGCTATCACAGCAAACGACGCGAAGGAACCAACCAGTTATCTTACGTGTCTTCAGGGTAAACCGTACGACGGATTGAGATGTAAGATCAAGAGCTATCTGAGTGTAAACAAAGAGCTTGTCATTGAAGGGTTAGCTGCCTAAGCATCTGAGAATGGCGCGAAATAAGCAGATCTGTCAAAGACCGAAGCGAAGAGGTGACGAAGCAAATGTCTAAAGCCGGATAATGGCGATGATTAATGGAGACCAGCGCTATGTCGGCGACAGAGTCGGCTGGAGAAGCGTTGTTTTGGTCGTATGTCTCATAGCGTGTATGTTGTACGTAGTGGGGCGGGAGTCGCGTGTTTCAAAATCTCCATGCTCTTCCTCTCCCGTTAGAATGACTTTGGCCGATACGTGTCGGTGAGATGTATGTATGCAACCTCGATATTTGCATGAATGATGCTTCGCGGTAGCCGAACTAACAATCCTATACTCTTGTCGTCCCTGACTACACCTTTTGCGGTTTGCTATATGGTCTGATCAGAGCGCCTTCGCGTAACTGAGGCTGCGAAAACGACTTGTCGAGGTTCGAGACAGCGACACGTTAGAGTGCTACTGCAGGTATACTGCCGCACATATGCATGACTGGACTGTTGCCAATGTTTGTCTTGGAAGCAACGAAATTGCGTTCCCCTCTACCTGTACACCTGCTTCTTAATCTCTTCCTACTCACGCTTGGTTGCTAACGACCTCTTCGCGTTGTGAACATGCTTTCTATCGTTGCCGTTGCTGTCATGGGTATTGAAGACGTTCGTAGGGCGTATACCATCGATGTTGGACGAGATGTGATCGAAACAGGATGCATTGTAAGTGTTAGCCCAGGAGCTCCGTGATGGATAGGTAGCTAATATGCTTGCATAGACCTGTATTCCTGATGCCCCACCTACGAACACGATCGCGGTGCGAACAATAGCTTCAGCAGCCAGCATCACCGTAGACCAAGGCGTCTCTTCCGGTCATCTGCCGCTCGAAGAAATCTCTTACATGTCTCCTGCTCCAACAAAGCACTCACCTCGACCCTCGTCCCAGCTCACCGCTGCAGCAAAGACTGGCATTATCGCTGCCTTCGTCGCTGTTTTCTTCATTCTACTTCTACTCGTACTCGAGTACACCTATCTTCGACGAAAACGACGGGACCGCGCCTTAGAACGAACGATCGATGAAGTGGAAGATGGAACTGAGCTGGAGGAATCCACGGCAAGCGAAAGCAAGGAGAACATGGTACTCGAGAGCAGAGTTGAGATAGTTATCGAAGAAGAGCAGCGTAGTGAGAGTGAGAGTTGGGACGGGGAAAGCCAGTGGGGCATTGGTACAGATGGCGAAGACAGTGATGGTGATCTTGGTGAATGGATAAGAGGAGGGGGATGGGAGAGAGGAAGAAACGGTATGAGCCTATCACGAACAGAAAGCTGAGTCTGGAGCGGAAACCATCGCGTACGATGAGAACAGACTAGGTTCGAGGTTGTCGTTGGAACAGTGGGTCATGGCCGCAGTCACGTCCGCATTAGCGCAAGATTTTCCCTCTTCCGTGAATCTGTCTGCACATTTAAGCCCTATAATCCACTCACTTCCTTTTCTCTTGTGGCACAGCCAGCGCACACTTTGCAGGCACAGAAAGCGACCGTTGCCCCACCATGGCTGCCAACTGCAAAATTACATCGGCTAATCACAATCCGTGGTTTCTCGACCCTGTCATGATCGAACTCCAGTCATGTCCAGTTGTAGGTGCGGAGGAGATTGCCGAGCTAATGGTTCCGGCCCGTATGAGGTTTCTCGATTCCAGCAGTGGGACTGTGGTCCGCGAGTTCAAAAAGGGCTATGGACCTTCTAAATGGAATTGCTCCACGATACCAACTCTGCACGATACGGGTGCTCGACGATTGCACCCGCGTTCACTGTCAAAGATCCTCAAGATGGATCAATCGTGGATTGGTGACGCGCAATTCTACCCTCCTCTAATTCCTCCTCTATGTCTTCCACTGCTAAGCCAAGCAGATCGCGAAGCAACAGTGGAGAGACTGCTGGAGCATTTAGATAATCCACAGTATACCGAGTATGCGACGACACTCACCTCCCGATCGTCTGCCGTAGACCGATGCCTCAGGCACTTCGTAGGTGGTAACGAGACCTCAAGTACTCTCCCACAGCTGTCGGCGGACATTACTTCGATCATGCATTGCGGTGCTCTTCTTCCTCTAGAAGTGTCAGCTCTAACAAGCAGCAGTACGATACACCTCATTACCGGTGTGCGCGTCTACATCGTGTACCCTCCAACACCACACAACATGGCGACTATGCACAAGTATTTGCTAGACCTCACTGAAGATCCTGCGCCAAAGCGTGCAAGCGTATGCAATGACTTACAGGAAGGTATCACCTTCGTTCAGCGCGCTGGTCAGACTGCAACCATACCACCGTTCTGTCCAACAATGATTTTCTCTACGACAACCAGCGCAGGGGTAATTGTCCGTTCGCGTTGCCACAACGAAGTGTCAATGCGACTAACGCGATTGGAGCTTATAGTAGCTCAGATCAGGGCTGTACAGCACGTGTGTCGAGAGACAGCGGATACATCGTTGGAATACCACACTGTACAGCTGTACAAAGACATATCTACAGTTTTTAGAGCATCGGAGCCGAGCAGTTCTGGCTGGAGACGGACATTAGCCCTGGGAGCTGCTTGGCAAGACAACCATACTCGTTTCCGGGCTCTGATAGAGGGGCATGTCTCCCAGCCGTTGAAAGATAAAATCCTGAAGAATGTCCCGCGACTTTGGAACTTCGCTGTGCAGAACCAAGACTTTGAAGAATGTCCAGTCTGCAACGTGGACCTCAAGGACCTCGGCATGGCGTTCATCGCGCACTTCCGGAAAGAGCACTGGATTGAGGCCGAAGACAACACTCAGTGAGATAGCGATTGATACTTATTACTTATGGACGTCTACGATGGATCGCAGAGGATCACAGGAAAGAGGAAGTCTTAGTGGCTGAGAAGCGTCATGGTGCTTTAGACCAAGCTCCGCTCGTCAAAGACCATGGCATCAGATCGCTCGTAACGTTTGGGTGCAGAAGTAGTACGAGACGAGATGCGAACGAAAGGAAAACAACAATATGGGGTGACTGAGTAGCGTGAAGGACAAGAGGCTATGGGACGCAGTGATGTTTGACAAGGACAAGTTCATCAAGACTGATATTTCGCGGCCGGTCGGGAACGGAAGCTTTCAGCACTGCCTAAATACCTATCATTCGATCCCCGTTCGCAACAAGAACGCTTCAGCGCCCACATCCTCTTTTATTTATCAGGAACCTGGAGATCGCGATCAGCTCGACGCTCATACGATGCGAGAACCCATGAACGGAAGCCCGTTTTAGATCCTACAGCTACCGTCCGATGCGTGGATAAGATCTGCCGCTCCTGCGTGGCTGCGGCGTGGTTGTCCTTGGAGCGGCCCGTCCACGCCCTGAGAACCCTGAATTTCGGCATCAAGCACATTGCGATCGAAAATATCTCCATTCGGACGTATTCTTGCCCAAAAAGTGACTGCAAGCATACATAGATACTGATGAACACATACTCTCCGACAGTAATTCTTCATCCCCGTATATGAACTTTACCAGTGCAGTTGACAGGTCCATCCGCCGCAAAATGTTCTGCGTCTAGTCCTTGAACGTCGCATCCGGCATCTGGAATGGCATGGTTACATGCAGGCAGGACGGCCCAGCAAAGAGTGACCCATCTCAAGCTACTTGCTACATATGATTCACTGCCACAAGTAGCAGGAGTCGTCCGTGTAAGGCGTTCTAATTGGATGCAAGGGCCCGACCCATGTCGCCACATGCAAACGCAGATTAGTAGGGGGCCGTAGGAATTCATATTAGACGATTTGCACGCACTCGATGCTGGACAGCCTTCTCGCAGCTACTTGTCTTCCTTGGTCAATCTCGTTCACAGATTGCGTTTCTGTAGTCTTCCCACCGCTATCCTGGCATTGGCCAGCTCAGTTGAGTCTGCTGCGTTGCAGCCCCGTGAACTTCTTCAGGACCTACAAGATCAAGCATTGGCAGCACTTGAAGAGGCGGAGAGGAATGGTACGCTTGAGAGGAGAGCTGGATGCAATATTTCCACAGCGTTTGTCAGGCGAAATTGGTAGACTGCACCACGATACAACTTCGACATAGTGAAGATTAACAACCACAGGGATTTCATGTCCGCAAAGGAGCGCAAAGCGTACAGTGGCGCTTTCAGGTGTATGTACACTTCACTTTCTAAGTCTGATTCGACATTGGTTCCTGGAGCTCGATCCCGATACGACGACTTCGTTGGACAGCACATCAATCAAACCAGATCGATTCATGGTACTGGAAACTTCTTAAGCTGGCATAGGTACTTTGTGCATTCCTTTGAGAATGCACTAAGGGAAGAGTGCGGCTATACTGGCTTTCAGCCGTACTGGAACTGGTTTAGTTACCAGGATGATCTGAGCAAGTCCCCTGTTTTCGATGGTTCTGCTACAAGCATGGGTGGTGATGGCTACTATGTCAAGCATAATGGAAGTACTGGTGGCGGTGGCAGAATTTATCTACCGTCTGGCAACGGTCGTGGCTGCATCAAAAGCGGACCGTTCAAAAAGTAAGCTACTACAAGGTTTCTGGCTTTGCGCAACTCAAGTAACATTTACTGATAACGTCAGCGTGCAACTAAACCTTGGACCCATTAGCCCTACCATGGCCGGAGCAAACAAATCGGCATCAGCGCTGGCCTGGAACCCGCGCTGTGCGAAGAGGGATCTTACCAATTTCGCATCTAATACCTGGTTCACTTTCGAAAACCTGTACAACATCACGCTTGGTGCCGCATCTAAGGACATTTCATCCTTTCAAAATGAACTTCAGGGTCGTTTTGCGGATGGCTTCCTTGGTCAGTAGTATCCTGTATGGACTGTGGTTGGACTTTGTACTGACTTTGTTCACTTATGTTCAGGTCTTCACGCTTCGGGTCATTTTGCCATAGGTGGCGACAGCGGTGACCTCTACAGTAGTGTCAACGATCCCGTTTTCTTCATGCATCATGCAATGCTTGACAGAGTATGGTGGATCTGGCAAGCGCTGCACCTAGACCAGGCCAGGTCTGTTGAGGGATCGCGCTCTATGTTAGACCCAAACGACCCAAGGACTACGCTTGACCATGTCATTGAGACCAACTGGCTGAACACTCCCGATGTCAAGATTAGTGACGTTATGAGCACTCTCAGCGGAGAGCCTCTGTGCTACATCTATTTGTAGTGTATCAAGGAGAATGAACAGGAACAGTATGCATTTCGAAAGATTTCAATCTATAGTGTGTTCCGACTTGATGCAGCCAATCAGCGTTGTAAGTGTTTAACCATGATAAATTGTAGTGCTTGCAAAGCATCCGCCAGATCAGAACACTTGGAAGCTACCACTGATACACTGGAAGGGCCCAATCTCGATTGCAGAAAGCAAGTCTTCTCTATTCCCATATCATCATAATCGTTCCACAACCTTCCTGCTTAACACAAACAAGGTTTCAACTTCCACACGCTTTTTTGATCTTTCGCACTTTGAGACGAGTCGATGTGACCAGATCAGGTATGTTGGTCGAGTAAATGCACGATCGAGAAAGCGAAGAGAGCGAACTGACGATATTGGTACAGTTTATGAAAATGAAGACGCGACCATCGAAGTAACCGCAATATCCGGAGCGATGGACTGCTGTTCCCAAAAGAGTTCCCGACTCGCCGGCCCAGCGACTGTGACGCAGGGCCATCTTCCAAACGCTTAGCGATACATGCCAGACCAGCCACGCGGTGAAGAAAACGAGGTCGTATTTTCATAAGAATACAGCGATGATGAAGTTGGAAGAGGTGGAGGCTGTCGTCGAAGTGAATTGGATGCTCTTGTCTCTGCTGTTGAAGTGGTATAGGAAGCTGAAGAAGACGCTGACCGCGTTGAATCCAAAGACGACCGTGGAGAGATGTCATTACGTGATACAGACGCCTTGTTCGACATATCCGACAGCTCGAAAGCATCCTCTTGACTTCGCCGTGGTTCGATTGATTGGACCCTGCCCTTGTGGAGTAATTGGTGAAATTGTAGAAGTTCTGAGAATTGAAACATGATTATTGCTCCATTACAAATGTTGCGGAGAATGCGTCGCCTTTTCAAGCTCAAGGTCTTCCTTGTAGGACAACAGTAGTGAGGAAGAAACTTCAAATGCACGGCTAACGCTGGTAAGGAAGCTGATGATAACTCTCATTCTAGCTTCCGATAATGCTCTCTACTAGTCCTTTTCGTCAGTCTTCGTGCACGCTATGATAATTCTTTACGTCGGTTGTCCAACTCCCGTTTGACGTATCACGTTGTGTCATGTAGCAAGCCTGCGGGAGCTACGTAGGCTACCTGGATTATGTTGTACAAAATGTCGAATTCTGGGGAAATCAGCATACAAGCCGTGACGGTTGCTCGAAGCAAAATCTGCACACATCCAATCACGATAAATACGGTGAACACAATACGTCAGAGGGAGTTGTTGGATTGACTAGAAGTTGTATCTAACAGATAGTAGCTGTTGCAAAGAAGAATAATTGAAACTTGAGACATACAGCGCAGACAAGAGCACCGTTCATAACATAATATAAACTTGTCATGCACGAGCTTCATGGGTAAGTTACTCATTCTGTATGAATTTACTTTCCACGTGGAATGCATCACGGGTAGACGGGTCGGAGCAGCAACAGCTTGCCGCTCCTTATACGGGTCGGCCCTGTTCCCATTTGGGGCATCGTTCGCCAACCAAAAGTTTGATATGGTGATGCAGCTGGTTCCTGCCGATGAGAAGACACCATAAAGAGCCAGACATTCTAGTTTCAAGGGGACTTCTTGGGTAGACCTGACTTGCAATATCTATGATGATTCCGTTCACGATCGATCGATCGTCTATGATCTTCAAGATCGATACAACTCCACTATCTTTGAGATAACACGAGCAAAATCCCTACTCAGGCGACAAGGTGACAAACACCAGAAATCGCCACCTGTTATCAGTCCATAAGAGGGTAGTAGGAAGAGCTTGGACTGGATATTAGTTGCGCAAACCGCACGATCGGGCAAGTAACGCGGTGTACTCATCTCCAGATTTAATGGGTGGTTCGTTTACCGAAACGGTACCCCAATAGACGCCACTGTTGCTAGTCAACGCACAATGCGCGATACGACCAAGAAGTATCTTCGAGTACTGCGATACGAGACGCAAATAATGTATGGTGAACAGACAACAGCTATGCTCTGGTTCATCATGACACATGGACGTGATGAGCCACGCATAATCGACAACAAAACACTCATCATGAAGGGAGCAGTGAAGAGATGCATGTACGCCAGTTAATGAAATGAGCTTGGAGGCTTGCAAGAGCCTTCATTGAGTTTATCTCAGCGAAAGGCTGTCTTAGCGAGTAGACGTCGAAGTGGGATCTGTTAAATTGATTTGTCCGTGATGATCGTACCTTCTGAGTACTTTTGCATATCAACGCAGCATACTCTTGGTTAGCCTGGTATGTGAAAATTGACTCGTCCAAGACGAGTTACTCAAGGGATACAAGGATGTCGGTTTCGGACGGCTACGGGACCAAATGGCCTTCGGCATGCGCGCCTGGGACGCGGTATCACCCTACGCATACACGAATCGAGCAAATCACAATCCGGACAAGTCGATCTGAAGTTGCCGTACGAAGAAGCTCAACTCCTGTGTTGCACGCATCATACATAGTAAACATGATTGTTGTGGTTTGGATGACGAAAAATGTAACACCAAAGCAGGCGAATAATACCAGGGCATCTTTTGGTGTCGCCCACGACTCGAGTAAAACGTCCTTCCTCGTACGCGCCCTTAGCGTCGATCGACAGTCTACTAATGTCCGACTGGTCATAGATACTACACAAGATGCAGAGTGACGATGATCAGATTAGATATCTGCTGGTGACATCGAAGTCCAATCAATCTGTGGGTGCAGAAACAAGAACGCAAAACAGATGCCATGACATGTGAAGGGTCTCCGATACATGAAGACATCAAATATGTGCCCTGGCCACCAAATTTAGCGCCCACTCATACGTCGCAAGCCTTCAAACCTATTTGCCATTGTGCTCACCACCGTGGCATAACCCTCCGTGGTCAACAGGGATGTTTGACTGCGTGAAGGCACTAATAGCATCCTCGCGCTCGGACTTGACGCCCTCTCCTTGATCGTCCGTCTCCAACTTGACATGCTGACGTAGCTCGATCATTGCTTCAATGACCTGTAGAGCCATGCTGTGATTAATCAAACCCTTCACATGCTGCCATAGCTCAGGATCGAGTGTTGCCGCCAAAGTATCAACAACCAGACTCTTGAGTTGCTTCGGAGTATCGTCTTCCTTAACAGCGTGCTTGAAGACAACCCCAAAACTGTCATCGGCTACAACACCTGGACCGTATCCCAGAAGCGTCTGGATGGGAACACCGTGATTCTCAGCATGCATGAGACTGTCGTTCGCGGCCCTGTACAATTGTTTCAAACAGATACTAGCGAGTTCATCAACACCAAGTCGTGTAGCAAGCTTGAGAACAGAGTAGAGCCGTTCAGAACCCTCGTATGAACACTGCGCTTGATAGACCCACTGTATGAAACATCTTACAGTCGCTTCCTTTACGTCAGGAAGTATCAGACGGTGTTGCGCGGCGGCTTTGAAAGGATCCTTCTCGGCTCTCTTGACTTCGGTCTTTTGGATGTCGTGGAGTCTTTTGAAGAGTGCAGAGGCTACATCTTGTAGGGCATGGGGCTTGAGGAGATCCAATCTACCCGATAGGCTCAGGTCCGAAGCGATCTGTGAAGGCTTCGGGGCCGACTTCTTGACGTTTCTGGCAGATATTTGGGAGGTGACTTCGTCCATAATGAGTTTCTTGACGCCGGTGGAGTACCCAACCAGCGGGTAGTTCTCAGATGCCTGCTTAATCAGTGGTTTGACCTGATACATGTTAGCTGAGTTCAGTTGGAGGTGCGCACATGACTGAGCGCGTTGAAAATGGGAAATGTCGTATACGTCCAAGTTGTGCTCACGTAACGTACCTGTTGTTCCAAATGCCTGTCTTCAAACTCCTTCTGAGAACACTCCGGAAATACGTATGCTGCAACTTTCTCACGAAACGCGTCGGCCTTTGCGAACTGCGTCCTAGCCGACTTTGCCTTCTCGAATTGACCTAGGAGTTGCTTGCTGTGAACGCACAGAAGCTCCTCGTGCACAGTGAGCTTGGTCTTGAGGTCAAGCTCACATTCGATGGTGATGGGGGTTTGCATGAGCATTCTAGTGAACTACGTCAGTCTGATAACATGCAAAATTTTGATGGCATTTTACTGGGGTGGGGTGAAGTCGACAGTACCCGGTGTATGCGGGTATGACTTGAAGTCCGCGGCGTTGTCCATCCTAGGTGGCTCCACGGAGATGCTCGAGCGACTAATACTGCTGGTGGGCAAGGTCGAAGCACGAGACGGGGTAGCTAGTGGAGTTGTAGTCGTGGATCGATCCACCTCAGAATCATCAGACATTGCCGTAGACAGCGAATTGATTATTGCAGCAGAGTGAGAAGATGGTAAGGTAAAGAGACGGAGAAACAAAGACAACAGCTTTATCGGAGTTGTATAGGCTGAATAGAGCTGTTCGAGGAGATCGTCTCTCACCTCAACACAAGAGCAGTTCAGCGAAGGGTCCGCCAAAAGCGGGCCAGAGGTAAGAGTGTCTTCAGCGTCACCTTGAATATCACTCTGCTTAATGAACTGGATGGGATGGGATGTGAATGTTCAATAATTGGCGGTGACTCGCCGTGATGATGCATGTAATGGTATCAAAGTGTACTCAAAGTCAACGCTTACTCCTTACCCATGCCATGATCAGTCGTGCGTATCCTTGGCCTCTCGAAAAGCATACTATATCTTCCTTCGCTTGCTCGCCGTGGGTTGATCCTCTTCCTCCACTGACGGCGTCCCTTCATTTCCGACGCGTCCACTGTCCCTCTCTACATCCCTCCATGTACTGACTAGACCTTGGACAGTCTGAAACATATCCCTCGCATCGCTCACCACACCCTCTTCTCCAGGATTGAACATGACTGCGTTGACAAACATGCGCATCAATTCCTTCTCTAGCTGCGCAGCATTGACAATTGCCTTTGGAGGCACATTGTCTGCCGTAATCGGCAACTCGACAACGCCTCCTGTCGCGCCACCAGGACTACCAGTGGGATTATCGGACGCTGCCGCGGCAGCCGCAACTTGCTTTGAGCCTGTTGCTATAGCTTTCTTTATGGAGGAGAGATCCGTGGGACGCTTTATTATGTCGTAGTAGCCTTCGGCGTCTTTTGCGCGCACTGCTGTATTGAAAGTTGAAGCGTGTTTATGTGAATTAATATCATACATCATGGGGGCCGTCGTGCGGGCAAAGTTCCGTGGTGCGACCAGAGTCTTGGGCGGGCCTGGCGTGCTAAAGGACGTCTCTTCAGTCTCCTCGAGGGAAGCCTCGCGGGCATTTCGTTTTCGGCGCGTGGAAAATGATGCTGAGGTAGGAGCTGCTCCTCGTCGGCGCGTGGACATGTGCGATGGTGTCTCGAAAGAACCTTCCTCGTCAACAGGCTCCACAGAGGTTCCGCGCTCTGACTTGATCCGATGACCGGCTTGCGATTCATTGTCCGCCGCTATTGTGTCTGTGTGTGAGAGAATGGACTGGCTTCTACTCCGATCTCGCACAGAGCCACCTGCTCGAGAGGATGCAATGCTACCAGGTCTTGTCCGTTTCGCTGGTGCTTTCCTCCGTGAGCGACCAGAACGGGATTCTGGCTCGAGCAAAGATTCTTCTTCTTGGTCGTGGGACTGCTTGGAGTTTTGCGGTGTCTCCGTGTCTGTTGCAGGGTCCTGTTCTACCTCTTTCCCCTTGCCCTTTACTCGCGACTTGCGCTGCGTCTTTGACTTCGGTGGTGTCTGTTTCGGTCGAAGAAGAGGGGGGACATCGTCGAGAGGCAACACCTCGGGGCGTGGGCTTGCAGGAGTGCCAGGCGGTCCAGTGAAGCTTGATCGCTTCCAGAGACTCTTGGCAGATACTGGAGTCGCTAGAGCGCTCTGTGGTGAGCGTGCATTGATCGGTGTGGAGACAGACTGTCTCGCCTGGACAACAAGAGGATGCATCTGCGGTGCGCCTGATTTGCCGGTACCAGGAGTTTGTACACTTGCTCTCGACAGTTGTCTGTTGCCAACAGGTGTAGATACCTGAGGATGCTGCTGGGGCACGGCGGCTTGATGGTGGACGCGCGACGGGTCCTGGGGTGCAACCTGGAACGGTGGAAGCATGAAGCCTGCTTGAGGTGGTGGCTGAGGCATCTGAGGTTGCAATGGGGGATATGGCTGGTGTCCGGGAGGAGGTTGATGAGATTTCTGCTGCTGCTGCTGTCCAGGATGGAATCCAGGAGAGTGAGACCCTGAGGATTGCTGTAGAGGGTATTGCTGGGGTTGTCCAAGATACGGCAACTGCGACCCTGGGTGGCCATACTGAGGTATTCCATTCGGCGCATAATTCTGGACTGGCTGGGGCTGCAATTGGGGACCTGGCGACGGCGGTTGCTGCGGGTGGCTCGCTGGCTGGGGTTGTATGTTTTGAGGGAACGGAGGGCCATTCGGATGGCGCGCGCCGTTATGATTTGGTTGAGGCTGTGGTGTTTGCTGGAATCGCTGTGGTGCTAGCGGCTGGTTGGAATTTGGTTGCGGAGTGGAAGGTGTACGCCGTCCATCAGAAGAAGGGTGTTTCTTGCGAGGAGATGGTGAGGTCTGTCCGTTCTGAAGTGGTGGCGCGGATCCCGGTTGTTGTTGTTGGGTAGAATCTGGGGAAGGCGCGATGGAGGGTCCACCTCGCGAGCCGTTCTGAACAGGCGTCGGGCTGGCAGTGGGCTGCGAAGCTTTTGGCGCAGACTGTGGCGACTCAGTAGGCAGCTGAGGGCTTTGCGACGATGGTGTGCGACCGCTCGACCGCTCCCGCTCCCGCTCCCGCTCTCTCAGCTGATCGTCCCACTCCCCACGCTCGATGCCATTGATCTCGCGCTGCAGCCTCTCGTAGCGCTCCTCCTCTAGTCGGATCTGCTCCGTGATCTCGTAGCGGTACGACGCGTAGAGCTTGGTGACGAGCTTCGGTATCAGGTGTTGGTGTTGCAGCGACTCCTGGACGGTTGGCAGGCTTGGGCTATGCCTCTTTCTCTTGCCCGAGCTGGCGACTTCCCCATTCTGGTGGCCATCGCTGTCGGCGCCCTGCTCATACTCAATCTCCCTCTTCAGACGCTCCAGGTAGAAGTTGCGCAGTGCATCGGGACTGAGGCGGCCGGGCTGGAAGTACTTGTGGGCGGTGATGTCCGGGTGTTTCTTCAGCAGGTCGGATATCCTGCCGAAGACGGCGGGCCCTACGCCGTAGGCATGGAGGCACTGGAACAGCAGCAGCGACTCGAGGTTGGTGTAGGCGGAGAGGCTAGGATTCATCCCCCAGGCGTCTGCAGCGCGAGGGCGATGGGCTCGGGGCGGAAGGGGAGCCACGGCTGCTGTGTCGGGGGAGACAGTCTACTGGGGCAGGCCGACGGGCATCGCATGCGACTCGAGGAAATGGGCGCGTCGGGTGGGGAAATTGTGCGAGATGGACGGGCGCTTGGTGTGGATGGGGGAGATTGTCGCAATGTCGCAAATTGTCGTCGGTGGTTTCGTAGCCCAGCCGCCTGAACCTGACGCCTACATCGGGCTGCCCCTGACCTGGGCCAATCAGCGGCGCCCGGCGTCACGTCGCCTTCACGCGAGCGCGGGGCCAGACTCGAGCAGACAGCGGGACCTTTACCACGCGTACTGCGATACTTTCGGCAAGCTTCGTTATAGCTCGAACCCGCATCTGTACATGCAATTGTGACTTCTCGCCGTCGTTGTGCACCCGTATCTTGTCGGCCATTCTTCGTCGGGCTCTCGGGAGCTGCGGCGCATCCAAACTCTCCTTCCTCTAAGCTCCACATGCGATCTACGCCCAAATTAGTTTGGGGGCATAGGCATCCCCTTTTCCTGACATTGCAATCGTCCTTCCATCTCCAGTCCAGGGCAGCCATATTATGCTGCCTCCCTCCCATTCCAGGTCTGGCTGAGTTGAATGAAACATCTTTGATCCGCTGAGCCACCTGCCGACTCTTGTCCCATCTTGTTCCAGCCCATAAATATATCCACTCATCCCCGAGCCTCTCCACGCCGCCTGCATCCTGCATAACCTGTTCCTGTCCACCCCCATCCCTCCATCATGACTTCTTCCTACCCTGCACAGTCCGTCACCATGGAGGATCCAGACCAAGGCTGGAAGCCAAACAACCGCCCTCAATCGTGAGCTCTCCCGGCGCTAGCATAGCTCCCGCCTGTCTGAGACTGACCACGCCCTGTAGCACGGTAGCGCGCAACTTCATGTCAGAGCTCGACAGCCTCTTCAACCTGGACGGCGGTCTCGAGAACCTGGATAAGACTGTCCTTGAGAAGTACGCTTTCGCCATCTTGACCGCTACTTGGAGCCGGCTGACAGGCGCGCAGGAAGCAGGCAGTCACCACCCAGACCAAGGAGCTTGAAGCCCTCGAGGCAAGGCTCAAGGCCGCCGAAGAGCGCCTGAACCAGGCGAAGAGCAACTCTCCACCAGCGAAGCGGGACACGCACCGCGAACAAGACAACGCTCGGTTACAAGGGGCCGCCAGCCCCCTTGCCCAAAAGACCCAAAACATGCCAGGTGCGCTACCAGAGACACCGACTCCTACATCGACTACCAGTGCTGACTATGTCCTGGTAGAGCGGCCACTTTCTGCCAAGCCTGAGACGGCATAGTTCTACCTCATTCACTACGATACCACGATACCCCGGCACTGCGCCCACATCCAATACACTGCTTCATCTCTGTGCCTGGGAGACTGCATCTTGGAAAGGGGCATATATCTTTTATAATCGACGAAGGCATTTTCATTTCTGGCTGGTGACATCTTGTTACTAGTCCCTCAGTTTCGGGGCGCTTGTGTGCTGCATGTCTCTCTTTGGATTGTTTAGCTGCCAATGCTACATAACCTCCATGACCTTCCAACCGTTTCCTTGTGGTGTTCTGCTCTGTTTCGGTTATACGCCACTAACTCCGTAGCTTTGAGCACAGGCCTGGTAGCCTCGTAACAGACTCACCGACACATGCATCTTCTGCGTCGCAATCTCACCAGGCCTGCAATATGGACGACGTAACCGAGGCTGCCCTGATCAAAACGTTCGACAAACTTGCATCAGAACATGTCATTTTATACGGGCCCTATGAGTCGATCGAAGTGGAAGATGAAGGGTACCCTGTAAGCTAGTCTAGTATCCTCAGAGAAGCTGAACCCGTACTCATGCCATGTCAAGATGGAGTTTCGCATCTGCCCAGCACTAGCTACAAAACCTCACACAGTGGGTGCTACCAACCATGCCTTCAATCAATCGCGAAAATTGGGTCCAGGAAGCGACATGTTTTGCCCGGACGAGCGAATCATGATCAAGCAGATCAACGGAACGCACGACCTAGCACTGAACCTATTCTGTGTGGATAGGCCGCAGTTACTGATGACGACCTTGGACTCGTACAAGCGTCAACACGAGGCTCTTGACGCAGAAGATTTTACAGTCATGCTTGAAGTTTCGCGAAAGCTTCCAAACATGTACGTCATTTTCAACTGTGGGGAGAGAGGTGGATGCAGTAGGGTGCACAAGCATCTCCAGGGCTTGAAAGGGCCACCACATGCTTTCGACTATATCATCTCCTCTCTTCACGATTCGTCCAAGAAGGTACCTTATCAATTCTTCGTTCATGAGTTCAAGCATGGGTTCAAGGAAACTTCAGCCTCAACCGTTGTTGATGCGTACAAAAAGCTTCTCTCACAGTGTCGGTCATCTATGGGAACTGAAGAAGATGATACTCCTCCACACAACGTCGTCATGTGGGCTGATCGTCTCGTGGTTGTTCCACGTCGGGCAGGTACCACAGAAGGAGCAAGTGCGAATGCTGGAGGAATGCTTGGAAGTGTATGGGTAACCGGCAAAGAGCATGTGGATAAATGGTCTAAGGTCGGCTATGCGAACGTGTTGAGGGAGTTGGGCGTTCCACGTTCCTAAGAAAACGCCATAGTATCACTTGCATCTCGTATATCCAAACAAGTTGTTGTCGAGGCGCATGCAGACCATACTGTGGCTGCTCAATATGCATCCTCCTTCCGATTCCAGACGTTCGCTTCGCACCAGATACTCACCATACTGGAGCACGTCAACTTACTAATAAACACCACGAGATCACGTACCTGGCACTATCCAAGCCCCGTATTTGGCCTATCTAGTAGCCAAGACAAGCCAGCATAGTCTCCGAAACGTGCACCTGCCTAATGCGACAGACTAAAACCGCCCGCACCAATCACGCTTGCGTGCCTACGACGTCAAGAAAATATGCCAAGTAGCTCAGTATATTAATCCGCCGTCCAGATTCTCGAGTAGACCTCTGAGAGCCTTCACGTACTAATCTCCGGCGCTTGCATCATCTACGTTGGGCTCTTTCGAGCGTACATCTCCCGTGCTTGCAGCAGATCGACCGGGAGCATGGGGCGACTACCTGCCTAATCGATGCGACACTCGAGGATGACAAGAACGAAGGTATCGGTGGTGCTAGGTACTGGATGGGAAGGTCGGTTATGGACCGGTATGACTACTACATTGCTTAAAAGGAAGTGCTTTCCCCATGCCATCCTGCACTGCCCAGGAGTCATCGCATCCACCATCCATCATGAAGACCACCATCCTTACTTCAGCACTTCTTCTTTCTTCTACGGCGCTTGGCACTGTCGTCCCCAGGGCAGGCAAGAAGGTCGATTACAGTGGCTTCAAGGTCCTACGCGTGTCTAGCACTGATGCTGTCAAGGGAGAAATCGAGAACTTGGCTGCGCATGTCCTTAACCCTGGCACGTCTGCTGAATTAGACGTTGTCGTTTCGCCCGAGAATGTCGACGCCCTGACTGCGTTGGTCGCTGAGAGCAAAGTGCTGAACGAGGACGTTGGCGCAGCTCTTGCAGAGGAAGGCGAGATGAGCGTTTACGCTGGTTTGTAACGACCATGCAGTTGTGATGACATCAATTGACCACCCGCAGTTCCCAGTGAGACTTGGTTCACAGCCTATCACCCATATGCCGACCACCTTCAGTTCCTTCGAGATCTGCAAGCCGGGTACACTGGACAGTCGGAGATCTACACTGTTGGCACCTCTGTCCAAGGACGAGCCTTGACTGGTATCCACATCTGGGGTAGCGGTGGGAAGGGCTCAAAGCCTGCTGTCGTCATTCACGGCAATGTCCACGCAAGGGAGTGGATCACCTCCATGACTACCGAGTATGTAGTTTATTCGTACAATCAGTGCAAGATCTATATGCTGACTCTAGATTCTCAGGTACTTTGCTTGGCAACTGCTTACCAAATACGGCTCAGACGCGAGCATCAAGTCGCTTGTTGATAAGTTCGACTTCTACATCACGCCCATTGTGAACCCGGACGGTTTTGTCTATTCCCAGACGACCGATCGTCTTTGGCGCAAGAACAGACAGACCGTCAGTGGTAACACATGTGTTGGTCGTGATATCAACCGTAAGTCTTGCGACGAATCTTGACTGAAGCCTCTGACATCCTTTACAGGCAACTGGCCATACAAGTGGGAAGTAGCAGGCGGAGCTTCCACAAACCCTTGCTCGGAGACATACAAGGGTGTGGCGGCTGGCGACGCGCCCGAGAACCGGGGCATCAAAGCGCAAATTGATTCGCTCAAGGCGTCGCGTGGTATTCGCCTTTACCTTGATGTGCAGTAAGTCCTCACTATCTTGATCTTCGGAAACTCTGAAACAGGTCGCTAACCTCAACTCCAGCTCCTACGGTCAATACATCCTGTGGCCTTACGGCTACGACTGCAGCCTGCGCGCCGAGAATGATGCACAGCACCGTTCCATTGCAACCCGTGCTCAGTCGGCGATCCGCGCTGTCTCTGGCACTGCATACACCATTGGTCCCAGCTGCTCGACGTTGTATGCTACCACTGGCTCTTCGACTGATTATACTGATGTGCAGGGTAATGCTACCTACTCGTACACCTATGAGCTGAGGGACAAGGGTACCTACGGCTTCTCGCTGCCAGCAAACCAGATCAGGCCGACTGTTCTGGAAACTTGGGCCGGTGTTGCTAGTATGCTGAAGGACGCTTAGAGAGGTGTTGAAATGTGTTCAAAGATGCACACAGGAGGCCGAGCTTTCGCATGGTTGAAGGAGACATTCAGATACTACGAATACAATGCAGTAACAAAAAATAAGAAACAGTTTTCATGAAGCAGATGAGTGGCTTCAACTTCCTCGATGCTGTCGATTTGTTCAGATTGAAGCTGAGCAGCTCGAATGTGACTGAGGCTAGGAAGTAATTTTGCACGATAGGCGGACTCGTTCTACATCGCAGATACGAAAACCATGCTCTCGACGACTCAAAGCGTTCTGCATTCTGTATATGTTCAGCTGCAAACCTAGTTCTAGATTATGGTGACGATGGTGATGTATCGGAGGAGGAATGACGCGTGGGCTGCATGTTGGCCGACGCGCACGTGCGTCAACCCCGCCGATGTCAACACCAATGGATTCGTGAATAAACAGCGCGCCAACATGGCAACACTCCACCGCGAGCGCGTCGAACACGCGTTGAATGAGCTGCTGGTCCGCATCGTGCCAGAAGATGCCAATGACGACGAAGAAGCGGCAAACCAGCGCTTTGAGGACGCTTACGACTTTGCCATTGACGCGCTGACGGAGGCGGGAGATGCTTCACTCGTGCCTGATGTGCAGCATATTGCAAGCCTGATTGACCGCAAGGGTATGTGGGCATGTTGAGGTGTGCACCATTGTCAGCTAATGCGCGACAGTCTCGGGTCCTCTCAACGACCAGCGCAAGAGCGCCCGTCTACACAACCTCCTCGCACGCCTAGAGACACAGACCGTCTTGGACCAAAAATGGCGCATGCTGTACTTTCTCTACAACCTGTCCCCTAACGCCGAAGCCTCCCAAGAACCACGACCCGTCCAAGATCCGCGTGGCTTCTCCCGCGAACCCACGACGCCTTCCAAACGCCAGAGCGTCGCTGCCTCGTCACATGCCTTCCAAGATGCCTTTGCAAAGCCCGGCCTGACCCAACTGCCCGTCAACGCCGGCTCGCCCAAAGCCTCTACATCCACCCGCCCATCGTCAATGGTCGAGAAGCCAGAGAAGCGGAGAGAGAGGCGCCCCGACACCGCCAAGGACCAGCAACAAGCGAATGGAGGCCACGTAGAAAAGGCAGAGACGGGACCCTCAGAACCGATCCTGTTGAGAGAGCTGCCCTTCACGCTCCAAGGCTACTCGTCCACAAACCTCACCTTCCCTCTATCGACAGCGCTCAAGCTCCCTCCGACCCTCCCAGTGCCCATTGTCAGCCTGTTGCATACCCTTGCTGAGCCTGCCATACTATACAAAGGCCTAGCCGAATTCGTCGAGGCAAACGATGGCGGTCTCATTGAGCAAAGCTTCCGCGCGGCTCTGGCCAAGGAGCTGAGAGCATACTTGGGGCTTGTTGCAACCTTGGAGGGACAAATCAAGAGAGCGCTAGCACAAATGAGCGACGCACCAACGCAACAGGGTGTCAGCAAGGCTGGTGTCACTCTCAAGCGATGTGTCATCTGGATAAGAGAACCGACCATGGGCTTGCGACTGATGAGCTTGATGGTGGAAGAATCGAAGAGCAAGAAGGGCGGCGAGCTAATAGCCCTCATTCATTCCTTCTCTCTCAACCACGGCGATCCGTACGTTATGAGCTTCGCCGAGCGCCTCCTCTCAGATGTCACTCGGCCCTTCTACGATATGCTCCGCCAATGGGTCTACGACGGCGAGCTTGCTGATCCCTTTGGTGAGTTCTTCGTCTCTGAACAGAGCGAGGATGACATTCTCGAGGCCAATGGGAACGAGGGAAAAGGAGGTGCTACGAGCGTCTGGGAAGACAAGTACAGACTGAACGACAAGATGGTCCCTACAATCGTAACCGACGATTTCGCCAAGAAGGTCTTCTTAATCGGCAAGACCCTCAACTTCATTCGCTATGGTTGCGGAGATGCAGCATGGGTTGACAAATACTCCAAGGAAGCCTCGAAGGAACTACAGTATGGCGATACAGCCAATCTCGAACGCTCCATTGGCGATGCCTACAAGACCACAATGGCCCGCCTAATCGACCTGATGGCGAACAAGTTCAAGCTTTTTGATCATCTCCAGGCTCTGAAGCAGTATATGCTACTGGGCGCTGGCGACTTCATCGCTGTCCTGATGGAGTCGCTGTCATCCAACCTTGACCGGCCAGCCAACACACAATATCGGCACACCCTCACTGCTCAGCTCGAGCACGCTGTTAGAAACTCGAACGCTCAATTTGATACTTCTGACGTACTACGCCGCCTCGACTCACGCATGCTGGAGCTGTCGCACGGGGAGATTGGATGGGATGTCTTCACCCTCGAATATAAGATCGACGCACCGGTTGATGTCATCGTTACACCGTTTGGCTCTAAGCAATACCTCAAAGTATTCAACTTTCTCTGGCGTGTTAAGCGTGTCGAGTTTGCTCTTGGTTCAACATGGCGTCGGTGCATGACTGGTGCTCGTGGCGTTCTCGGTACTGTAGCTGATAAAGTCGGATCAGATTGGAAGAAAGCGCGCTGTGCAATGGCTGAGATGGTTCATTTCGTCAACCAGTTGCAGCACTACATTCTCTTTGAGGTTATTGAATCATCGTGGATTGATCTACAGGGAGCGCTGAATAAGCCGGAAAGCACACTGGACGACATGATCGAAGCTCATGCCATCTACCTCAATAACATCACGCGGAAAGGTCTCCTTGGAAGCTCAAGCATCGACTTTACTGGTCAGTTGCACGAGCTATTGAAGACGATGCTGGCATATAAAGACGCAGTAGACGGCTTGTACTCCTTCTCTGTCGCTGAGTTCACCCGCCGACAGGAGCATGCGGCGAAGATTGAGACCCGCACAGCAGCAGGTCGCTGGGGTCTGTCTGAGAAGG